GCTGGTGCTTGAGCTCGAACGACGTCGCTGGCGGAGACGCCGGCTGCTCCTCCCCTCCTCGCCGGTGAGTGAATGCCCCCGCCCCGGACGCTGGCGTCGGCCGCGGCCCCTCACGGCCCCTCCGCCCCGGGTGGGGAGAGTCGTGAAGGGAGCGTGGCCCGGCGGCGCCGCCGACGCGGGCCCGGCCTCCCGCACGCGGCCTGGCGCGGCTCGGACCCTCGGTCGCCCCCGTTCGGGGCTGAAGCCCTGGGCCTAGGACTCGACCCCCAGCATCCCGCCGGGCCCTTTCCCTTCCCGGCTCGTTCCGCTGTCATTTTGATCCAGGAGTGTCTCTCCCCACCCCCCTCTCCTCGCCCCCTTCCCTGCACCTCCCCCTTCCCCAGGGCCGAGGGGAGGGAGGGGCGTGTGAGGAACTGGGCCGAGGCACGAGGGTCTGTTTGGGAGCTGGCTCTGGTGGGGGTCTAGGGTCCCAACAGCCCTCGCTCGCCCTGGCTTCCCCAGAAGTTGGCCACCAGGGCTCAGCCATTGCCACCTGAAACCAGTTTTGCACCTTTTGTTTTGATTTTGAACTTGTCGTTTGGGGGTAGGAGGGAGCCTGCTGTACTGAGAACGGAAGAATAGATGGTGCAAGGTGGGATGTGAGTCCAGGCTGGCTGGGCTTGGCCTCAGAGTGCCTTTTATTAACCGTTTTAGGAAGGGAAAGGGGCGCAGTGAGTTGCACCTTCCCGGTAGGGCCAGAGATGCGTCGATAGCTTGCCAACCCCTGCTTTTACAGCCTAAGCAGAAGTGTGTGTAGTGTTGGTCTAGTGGTCGGTTTGCTTCATCTCTTAACAACATTAATGGTGAGGATCCCCCGGTGAATCTGCAGCTGAGTTTCTTGAGGCAGCCCTCTTGAGCTGTTGGCTAATTTCCCCCCCTTGTCTTTGGTGACAGCTTACACGTTAGCCTTGGTAGATCCTAGCAGATGCTTTTGCGGGCTGCCTTTTCATCCTGACTTGTCATAGAGGAAAGGAAGATAAACACACATACACACCAGTACAGAATGGTTGCTATAAGTCTGACATACTTATCAGAGGTATCTGTACCATAAGCATCTCTGTGAAAGGTCTGAGTTCCTAAATTAGCTAATTCTTAAAAAAAAAAAAAATCCGGGGCTTAAAAAGTAAGTAGCTGCTTTAAAATAAAACAGAACTTTGATTTGTTTATGCCTTCTGACCAATATCTTAAATTTGGAAGTGATTGGTTAAATCAAATCCTTGACTTTGAAGTACCTGTGTCTAGAAATTACTGCAAAACCTGGAGGAAAGAACCTTATGAAAATGTTAATGTGTTAATGGCAAGACTCCTTCAGGAGGTAGATACATTTTTTTCCCCTCCATTTGTAGATTAGAAGAGTGAGACTCGAATTGTGAGTAGATGGTAGTTTTACTGGTGTCATGTAACAAAACAATGCTTATGGGTGGGATTTTAACTCAACAATACCTTGTCCCCTACCAACAGAGTTGGCTTGTATTTTTTTCAAGTCGCACACCCACTCTCTGGCTAGTATAGAAAGATTGAAAAGCTGCTTCTGGTCTGTGGGCGGTAACCTTTTAATTTCTGAAGAGTTTTCAGCTGCTTACAGAATAGATTGCTGATCAGCATGGGAAAAATTTAGATATTAAAAATTCATTAGCACATGATCTAGATCTGTTATAATTTTGAGCACTTACTGAGATTTGGCATGGTTGGGGGGCTGTGTACTATGTGTAGGAAATGAGATTTCTCAGAGTATTTGCATCTTAAGGTAAACAGAAGCACAGTCAGCTGACAGAATGTTGTGACACTTTGCAGTAGTTGAGAGAATCTTTTATGAGCACAAAAGACCCTGTACAATTTGATGAAGAAACCCAGTGACCTGGACTAGTTGGTGATCACCATTACTTTGAGCTGTTTACTTCTTCTCTCTGCTAGAATATTTCTCCTTTTCTGCAAGAGTTTTTATAAGCCTGTCATATATGTACAAAACCTATAATGGCTGAGGGCTTAAGTTTAAACTCCTCAGAGTGGCATTTATGGATCACTCATCAAATATTTATTGAGCCCTTATTTCGTTCCAGGATTTTTTCTAAGTACTGATCACAGTGGAGGAACAAAACAGACAAGGTCCCTGCCCTCATTGAGCTTTATTCTGTTTGTGTGAGAATGAGGGTAACAAATAAGCAAATAGATAATTTCAGATAATGCTATAAATCAGTGATTAGCAAACTTTTTCTGTAAAGGACGAGAAAGTAAATATTTTAGGCTTTGTGGGCCATACAGTCTCTGTTGCAACTACTAAACTCTGTTTTAGTGCAAAAGCAGCTACAGGCAGTGCATAAACAAGCTTGTCTGTGGTCTAATTAAACTCTGGACACTGAAATTTGAATTTCGTATAATTTTCCCATGTCACAAAATATTATTATTCTTTTTGATTTTTTTTCAACCATTTAAAAATGTAAACCATTCTTAGCTCATAGGCCATGCAAAAACGTGGGGGGGTGGGGGTGCGGGCATGGGGCCGGCCCGGTGGCGCAGGCGGTTAAGTGCACGCGCTCCACTGCAGCGGCCCCGGGTTCGCCGGTTTGGATCCCGGGCGCACACCAACGCACCACTTGTCAAGCCATGCTGTGGTGGCGTCCCATATGAAGTGGAGGAAGATGGGCATGGATGTTAGCCCAGGGCCAGTCTTCCTCAGCGAAAAGAGGAGGATTGGCAGATGTTAGCTCAGGGCCGATCTTCCTCACACACACACAAAAAAAATGTGGGGCAAGCCAGATTTGGCCTGTGGGCTGTAGTCTGGCCCTTTATAGAAAAAGGTTACTGACTCCTGATATGAACTATGAAGAAAATAAAACAAGCTAAAGTCATGTGAGTGACTGGTAGGGGTGGTAGAGAGGCCTCACTAAGGAGAAGATATTTGAGTTGTGGCCTGGCAGATAAAACAGCAAGCACAAAGATCCGCAGGTGGAAATGGGCTTCTCCTATGTTCCCCAGCGTTGAACTTCCCCACATTCTGTGTCATTCTTCTTTTGTGTCTCTTTTCATTTTGTTGTTCTTAAGTAGGGTGCCCTCCTCCTGTCGGGTTTTAAAAGTCTACCCATTTTAGAATCTAAGACTTGGAAGAGATCTTAACTTTTTACCCAATTGCTCTCATCTAAAATGTTCTCAGTGGTTTTTCAGCCTCTGTTTGAATGCCATTGATGACAGAACATTCGTTACTTTGAGGTAGCTATGCCATTTTTAGATAGCTCTAATTGTTAGAATGTTCTTCGTGTTGTAATAGGACTCAGCCTTTCTACCTCCTTTCGCTGATGCTGCCTTCCAGTGCCCACAGAGTAAGCCTGCGGTGGGGTTGCACTTCATCCCCAGGATTCGGTTCTAAAGTCAGTGTATGAGACAAGAATTACATAAGTTGAGAAGTCTACTTGCAAATCCCTTAAATTGCTTAAAAGTATGGTGTGCATGTTTGTGTATATATAATCGTATATAATTCTTATGTACTTTATAGCCTGAAAGCCACTGTTCTTGATTGAAGGAAGGAGCAAGAGGAAAATTATGATGTAGATAGAATTATGATGTAGGTCTTCAAATGATTTTGTTTTTTAAAACAGCTATCAAGTTCCTGTCAGAGCATGGGGGATAGTGGAGAATTTTAACGTGTTCCTGCTTCCTTGCAGGGTTTATTTTATTACATTTTTACATGAAGCCTCTATTACGTTAATAAATGTTTATAGAAGCATTGAGAATATTAAACAAGATAGTATATATGGAGGCACCTGGCACATGGTAAGTGGTCAATAAATGTTTGCAGGATTTGAATCTAAATTGTTGCTTCATTGGGCTCACATGCACACTGTCCTTTGAAAAGTTGTAGAGAAGAACTTGGCCACCTGCTTCCTGTCTTTCCAAATTGGCATTTCCTGTTGTGGCTCTACTGAACAGCTGTCACTGTGTCCTTGAGTGTTGGTCACATTTTATCAGAGGTCAGCTAGTAAGTTGGGTATATGATGTAACACTATTAGTTCTGCCACATGACCCTTAAAGTATTTGAATATTGCTGTTATGTCTCCCGTTTAAGTCTTCACTTTTCAGGGCTAAATATTTTCATTTCTTTTAGTTTTTTTCTTATTTCTTCACCCTTCTGGTTGTTCTGGTAAGTGTACCAAATTATCATTGTTGTTTTTTACTTTGGTACCTTGAAGTGCATTTTAAGATACAAACCAAGTTTCATCTCGTTAATGAAGTCTTCCCTCATAATTCTAGACCTTCTCTATACTCCTAATAAACTTTTATCTGTACTTCTCAATTTAATATTTTCTTGTTTTTGTATTTTATGCTTGTTTCATGAGATTTGTCTTACCTCTCAATGACACAACAAGCTTCTTGAGGGCCAAGACCATATTTTAGGCATCTTTTGTGTCCCCCATGCACTGAGTAGAATTTCAGGTATGCAATAGATTATAATTAGTTTATAATTTTTTAAAAATAAACTTTTAAAATAAACTTTTTATTTTAGAACAGTGTTAGATTTACTAAATTATTGTGAAGATAGTACAGAGAGTTCCTGTCTATCCCACACCCAGTTTCCTTTATTATTAACACCTTAGTGTGGCACTTACGTCACAATTAATGAACCAATATTGATATATTATTACTAAGTTTATATTTTATTTAAGAGTTCCACAGTTTTTTCCTTAGTGTCGTTTTTTGTGTTCCAGGATGCCATTCAGGATGCCTCATTACATTTAATAGTCATATCTCCTTAGCTCCTCTTGGTTGTGACAGTTTCTCAGACTTTACTTGTTTTTAATGACCTTGGCAATTTTGAAGATAACTGGTCGGGTATTTTTGTCCACTGTCCTTCAATTGGGATTTGCCTGATGTTTTTCTAGTGGTTAGATTGATGTAATGTGATTTTGGAAGGAAGACCACAGAGGTAAAGTATCATTCTCATCACATATCAAGAGTGCATACTGTTGATATGACTTACCAGTGTTAATGTTAACCCTGATCACTAGCTTGAGGTAGTGGTTGTTTTCTCCA